CCGGAGTTAAACCACGACATAAGGTGACACCAATTCCCACATCGCTAAGCAACACAGGAACACCAGCCGGGATGCCAAACCAAGCTTCCTCCTGCACGAGCACGGCCATGACGCTGCTCGTTAAAGCCACCACTGTGCTCCGACCCGTGGCAGATGGGAGGAGGACAGAAGAAGTCAAGGGTGATAACCTAGCTCCCACCCTGCCCCAACAGACTTACCGGCCTCGGAATACTTCCTACCACAGGAGGGATATTCATAGCCCCGAAATAAAAATAACACATCACGCAGATGAGCTTTGCACTACTCACTTGCAAGGTAGCGTGGGGTGATGGTACACACACTCATCTCCGTTTTTACAGGCGGGCCAGTACTTGCAGCGCTCCAGCACCTTCTCCTGCTTATGCAGCATATTTAACTCTTCCGTATCCACTGGGAAGGAAAGAAAGAAGGAAACAAAAAAAGATGCCAAGCTAGGACCCTCGTGATTCGATACGCAATCTGGTGTAGACAATACAGCGTAACTGGAATTCACAGGATTTCTCATTCTGCCTCTCCTTTTGACCTCTGTTAATCACAGGAAGTCATGACAGTAAGGACTTACGTACAACCGTATTATCTGAAGAAAACTTCTGAAGCTACAGAGTGAAAGAAGTCGTTGTATCGCACTGACAGCTGCCTACTGGTGATAAAAGATCAAACTCAGGCTGTTTACAAGTAAAATACGTTGATTTGCTTCAGAAACCTAAAACTGAGGTATGGAAGCCCGACAGACCAGGTCTTCACCAGACAAGACAAAGCTTCTCCAGCTGAACCCTAGTTCCGACTGTTCTGCTGAGCCCTGCCTCAGTGACAGCCAGGCTTGCTTTCGGCAAGATATTCCTGACTCTGGAAAATCATTTCAAGAGATAAAGTAAACCAAAAAAGAATCAATTTTCACACCGATCAGACAGTATTTATCAGTATGGGGGCACACACTGACACATTCACTTCAGGTACCTCAACCCGGACTCCAATCCAAGTACTTTAAGACTTTCCAAGCTGAAACGTTCAACACCTTCACTGCTCTTACGGGAACCTGGGGACTTCAACTTTCTCCTATTTAACATTCTTTTTAAAACCTCATTCTGCAAATTCAGATAATTAAGCGTATACCTTCACTGTTGCCTTATTTTCCCAAATCTGCCTAAACCTTTGGCTTTCCAAGCTTTCCAAGACTGCTCGACTTACCTTCCTGACCTTACTAGTGACACACTCGCTGCAGCTTCACTCCATCCTCACCCTCATTTATGCCTTCTCCTTGCAAGGCACCGAAGCCAAGTTAACGCTATCCTACCCTAAAAACACATGGCTTGTACGAGCCACTTCCCTGTGATCCGATCCTGCGTGAGGTTCAGTCACGCCCGTGCTAACGTAACTGATCCAGTAAGAGTCCCCGGCAGAGGAGCAACGGCATCAGCGACACGCTCCCGTACCAAACAGCTTTAGTCAGGAGTACAAGACACGACACCAGAGATTTGTGAGGGTGGTACTCCAGCACAGACTTCGCTGCACCAGTAAAATTGTGCCCCTGGAGACACAACCTTCCCTTCTTCTCTAACACCGCCTGGGCAGCGTAGCACTCCTGCAGCCAAGGGAGCTCTGTCCTAATGCATTACACATCTACAGCAGGATCCACGAAATGCAAGGGTTCTCTGTACAACATCCGATACCGTTCTTTACGGAGTTCAGAAAATTGGTGTGCGCTGCTACTACGGGAAATAAAGGTCTTCGTAAGTAAAAATAAAGAAACCAAGCATGACCCCCAAGGGCAAGTATCCAAGAGGTCTCTGACAAAGCAATACCCTCTGCATCTTCCATCAGCCTCTCGGCTCAAACATACGCTTCAGCACGCAATTTCCCGTGTTATTCAAAAGGTAACCTGAATATGCAGACCTTCAACCCAAATCATACACTGTTTAAGTTTTACTTTCGGAGATTCTAGCAACATGACTCTGCCAACACCTTACACTTAACAGGCTCCTTTTGATGTCACAAATCTAGACAGAAACATTAACACCACCTGACATATTTTTTTTAAAGTTCCAGGCATGGCAAAACGTTCATCTTAAAATCTCCTGTCCATCAGCACGGGGACAAATGATAAGGGGTAAACCAGAAGTGCAGATGAAGACAAACTACATTTTCAAAGCTAAACCCCAAGATTTTACCAATACCGAGACGTGTGGAGAATTACCCACGTCCCATATTGCCCTATTTTATCAAGATAAAGGCTTCCAACGATATGGCCCCACTGAACTACCACATCTCATTTACCTAAAGATCATTCTAATTGGAAGAATAAACACCATCAGATATATCCAAGAGTCCTATCCACAATCCAAACACCACATTAACATCAGATCCCGTTGGTAAGCGTAATTACCAACGCAGCACTCTAGCTGCCTCGTTACAATCTGCGTCTGCTGCGCTCGAAGGCCTTTTAGTCCTTTGCTGACACACATATTCTGGGTCACTGGCTTTAATCCTTCAGTCATACACATATCGTCCTCTTCCTGGTCAGAAAGGTATCCTGGGGGACTGGGAACACCATCCAGCGTCACGATGAACTTGGGACTAGCGGGTTTCTCTGGCTGTGCAAGCTGGTCTCTGTCAAAGAAATGCAGTAAAAATTGATTTTCTGACTCCAGAGGTTTGAGGAGATGTGAGCTGCACCACTGGTAGTACCAAAAAAGTTAACGCAAGTCAATTTGCGAAGAGTCACACAGGGACAACCCTCCTTTTAATACTACTACTGCTAACGTACAGCAATTAACAGTTTGCCCTCTAGTCTCCCTGCAGCACTAATAAGAAGCGCAGCTGTCAATGGCACACAGCAGAGAATCTGGCAGGTGCATTTCTGTTTGTTGCATTCTGCTCTACAGACAGATCCGACAGTTCATTTACAGACACAATTAAAAAAAGGAAAGTGATTAATCTTTTGAGGAATTTACAGTTTTGAGACAAAAAAATGTAAACACCATTCTGGAAATCACTAACCTCTTAACACACAAACAGATGTCTCCTCGAAAACCCTGAACAGCGCGTTATGGAACAGCGGGCGTAGAAGTTTGTAGGGCTAGGAAGAGAGAACTGAAACACCAGCACTAAGAACTGCGGTGCTCAGCCTGATCCAAAGATCAGCCCAGCCTAGCAGCCTGTGTCCGACAGCAGTCAACGTGGATAAAGAAGGGAGCGTAAAAACAGGGGCTGCGTAGGTTTTCTCCACTCTTCCACTGACCCACCCCTTTCACCTGAGGGATTTCCTGCATGGCATGTGACTCTGAACATTTGGCAACACGCTATGGAGTTCTCATCTTTGACAAAGGTATAAACTTTGCCTCCCTATGAAATCAGGCTAAAAGCAACTACAGTGTAGAATGCCTTCAAAAAGAGAGAAAACCAACACACTGAAAACATCCCTGACCAGAACTGTCAAGTTCAGTCAGAAATGGATCTTTCACACCCAAAAATGTCCCGCTGTCCTGTAGTCACAGATTTCGAGTGTGATGTTGCGAGGTTACCCTTTGGGGTTCGTTTGTTCAGTGCTGGTTTCATTTTTAACACAGGCTGTGTAAAGCCATTCACGGAAAGGAATCAGTAAGAGTTTCTCCAAGAGAGCAGCTCATAGGGATAAAGTCCATGACATTGCTCTGAGTGGGTTTTAATGCTCACAGCTAAGGAACCTAAGGCTGTTTGCTAGCAGGAACCATCAAGGCCTTTAACAAGTTAAGACAATGACGGTGCACTGGCCATTGCTCCTTTGGGAAATGAAAAAAACATCCACACCTCATCATTGGAGGATGACATGAGCTTTGAATTTCTCCTGGGCAAACTCACCAGTAAGAAGCCTTAAGTCACTTGTCCCACGTCACCTAACTGCTGGCTTACAGGTACTGAGCTACCTGCATACAGAATGGGCTGCCTTCCCTCCAGCACTGTGCGCTCAGCACTCACCACACTCACCACTGCGTTAAAAGACATTTCCTACGAACGTAATCTCAGGGGGAAACAGGTATAAAACTAAAGCCAGTTTAAGCAAAACTACTGTTTAACGAAGATTCAGAAATCAGAACAGCTATTGCAAAAAAAGAGCGGTGCTTTTCAGTTCCTTCTCCTTTCTTGCAAATCAGACACATGCTCAAGCTACAGCTGACCCTGGGAATGATTTTCCATTTAGAAGGATTTCTGACTTTTTTTTGCCTCTGCTATTCAGTGTCAGTCCACTTTCCACAATTTCACGGATCCTGACTGAAGAGCACAAAATACGAGTGACTGGTTCCATCCAGACCACAAACAAGCCTTCTGACTAGTAACAGTCCTAACAGGAATCACTTCTTACCGTGTCTGTATGAGACGCCCTGAGAGTACTCGTATCGCCTCTGTGGCCCTCTTTCCCAACTGCTGATTCTGCGGCGCTGTTTCCTCAGACAACTTGGGCTTCTTCAGGATAAACGACCTAGTATCTGTATGGACCATAGACTCTGCATCATAGTAATCTGAAATGAGAGAAAAAAATTACACAGAAAGGAGAAAAATAAGGTTGTAGCTGTACTCTTAACTTATAGCACACTTAATACCATTTTACAGGGCAAATAAGCTAATTGGGGTTCAATTTCTTACTAGTAGCTTCCAGAAAACATTTTATTTCTTCGCTAATTCCACAGAAGGGGATCAACAGAAACCACAGCCCTTATTAGGCCAGACCAGGAACTCTGTTACTGGCATGGCTGTGCTGAAACAGCAGTGAAGAGGCTCCACGCACCCAAAATCTCTCAGGCTTTGAACACCTACTGATGTAAGACTTTCATTCCTTAGAGATGTAGAAACTAGAAAATACTGGAAAGCAGTATAATTAACTGAAAAGAAAGTTATGTTTTCACATTTACTGACCAGTAGTGTTCAACTGGAAAACTAGCAATTTTTATTTAGGAATAAAAGATCACAAAACTTCACCTTGAGTCAACTGCGAGGGATCTTCAATCACAGGATCGATCTGGAGCCGAGAGGAGAGCTCCTTCTGTTCAGCGCCTAAAAAAAGCCAGTAATTAAAAGCGTATTTTACTGCCTGTCAAAAAGAAACTACAGCTTAAAGAACGAAAGCGTACGCTTCCGATTCCTTTGGTAACAACAAAATAACAAAAGCCTCCACACTTGTAACCAAAAAAAGCCGTTCTCGTTGTTAGGAACCCTCTTCTCGTTGTTTCAGAAGCAGTAATGGGTTTTCTCCAGCCAGATGGCACAGCAGAATCTAAACACTGACAGACCACAGCCTTTCCCATAAGTGTGGCTCGGTACAAACCAGGTCTGCGGCTTCGGCAGCTTACCAAGGCCGAGTTCTTCCTCCTCACCTGTGGAGGTGCTGACTATTGAGAGAACACACAGAGCAAAGCAGCTTTATGGGACGCCTTATGGGCGCCTTAAAAGACGTGAAATCAACGTGAGGAGCACCGTTGTATGTTTCCTTTACGGTCTGAAAGAACTACTGTGCTTTCTGTAGGTTTGCCAAGCAAGCTGCCATTTCCCTCAAAGAGCAAAAATATTTAGCATAAATACTTTCTGTGCATTAACCCAAAGACTGATAAACCTTCTTCCTACATACTTTACAGCTACGATTTCCATGGTTTTATGCTGGCAGAAAGATTGCGAATAGAGTCAGAAGAGACTGAAAAAACAGATCTTTTTTAATAAGGAACATTTACTGTTCCTTCACGATGACCGTGAGCTGACATCACAAAGATCTTACTCAAACCAAATTTTACTCAGCAACCTAAATATCTCAACACTCAGCAAGAGCAAACTAACTTATTCTTACAGAAGCGTATTTCCGCCACCTTACTTCTACGACTCCTGGTAACTAACCCAGGTGCGCACCCCGCTTGCTTTGCGACAAAATCACGCTGAGGATGCTGGGACCGCCGCGCAGCGTCGCGCCACCTTCCTCAAGGAGCTTCGTAACGTCAATAGAAACCAAGCTGACTGGTCACCCAGCTAGCCTGGTATCAGCTGTTCTGTAGCAGCACGCTACTCCAGCAGTTACACAAAAAACCAAAACACTAGAACTACTTGCATGGTAACATACATCGGAAAGAATCTTTTCATGCTTGATACGCTACAAAATTATTCCAAATGCTGAGTATCTTAACTCCCTCCTATGAGCAGCGTGACAGAATTACTTCTACAAGACATTAAGGAAAAAACTGCAAAGGATGGGGAAAAACATCAGTTCCTGGGGGAGGCAGTAGATGGGGGTGAGTGTATTTTCAGGGCATTTCCACATGCAACTTTTTATGCTGACCTCAAGAATTAAAAGCATTTATTTTCTTTGCTCAACCTGTTGTAAAATGACATTCCCTGGTATAAACTCCTAAAGAATATTATCAGATGACCTTGAATTCCTTGAATCTCAACTGTCTGCTCCTTCGGCTCTTCTACTTGCAGCTGAGAACTCAGAGCAGGCAGTCTGTTTTGCACGTGGATGACTTCTAACTGAGATTCATCTGGACTAATTCGAGTTCTCGGTGCAACTGGAACAGTCTGTTTCTGTGGTGCTTTAAATAAAGAAACAATGGTAAATCATTTACATTCAACAGTACTATTATTACACATGGTGCTAAAGTAACTCTAATGGGTTCCTACACACACAAAAATCCCAAGCATCTGTCTCCACAAAAAGCATCTTCAGCTACCCATAAATTTTTAGTGTGAAAGCACATTTGTGCATGTGCCTAGAGCACTCCGAGTGCCACCCAGGACATCTACTTGTCAGACAGAACAGCATGAGAAGGATTAGAGTGACGTCAGCAAAGTATTTGTTCATCCACTTCTGCACAATTAATTTGGTACTTTCTTAGGGTGTTGAAATCACTTCACCTTCCACCTTTCATACCAACACTCATGGATCACCAAATGCAGTGCCAGCTAGCCGATGCTTGCGAACAGAATACAAAACTCAACAGCAGAATCACAGAATCTTTTAGGTTGGAAATGACCTTTATGAACATCAAGTCCAATCGTTAACCCAACACTGCCAAGTCTATTGCTTAACCGTGTCCCCAAGTGCCACGTCTACACGTCTCTTAAACACCTCCAGGTATGGGGACTCAACCACTCCCCTGGGCAGCCTCTTCCAGTGCCTGACAACCCTTTCAGTGAACAGATTTTTCCTAATATCCAATATAAACCTCCCCTGACACAACTTGAGGCCATTTCCTCTTGTCCTATCTCCTACTACTTGTCACTTGGGAGAAGAGAGTGACACCCACCTCTCTACAGCCTCCTTTCAGGTGACTGTAGAGAGTGGTAAGGTCTCCCCTGAGCCTCCTCTTCTCCAGGCTGAACACCCCCAGCTCCCTCAGCTGCTCCTCATAGGACTTGTGCTCCAGACCCTTCCCTCGCTCTGCTGCCCTTTTCTGAACACGCTCCAGCAGCTCAGTGTCTGTCTTGAAGTGAGGGGCCCAAAACTGAACACAGGATTCGAGGTGCGGCCTCACCAGTGCCGAGTACTTCTATTTTGCACTTCTATTGCCTATACCCATGGCATTTTGACTTTTTGCTGTTCGGCTTCTTTTCTTGTCCCCTTTCAGAAGGGAGGAGGAGAGTGCAGAAAAGAAGAAAAGGTCAACCACATAGGTCAACCAACCTGCCTAATCCTAGACACTTTCCCCTTGGAAACTATCAATTTCAGAATACTTCTGGCATTTCCATTTTCTATCTATACACTTTACACACTTGTATCTTGATTAATATATTTTAAGTAACTCTTTCCTCCCTTGTTTATGCTTTCATAATTCATCACTGAAGATAAATGTAATGTTCACAGCACACAGAATCACAGAATGGTTTGGGTTGGAAGGGACCTTAAAGATCATCTAGTTCCAACCCCCCTGCCATGGGCAGGGGCACCTTCCACCATTGCTCAAAGCCTCATCCAGCCTGGCCTTGAACACTTCCAGGGATGGGGCATCCACAGCTTCTCTGGGCAACCTGTTCCAGTGCCTCACCACCCTCTCTGGGAAGAACTTCTTCCTGATATCTAATCTAAACCTCCCCACTTTCAATTTAAACCTGTTACCCCTTGTCCTGTCACTACAGGCCCTTGTAAAAAGTCCCCCCCAGCTTCCTTGTAGCCCCTTCAGGTACTGGAAGGCTGCAATGAGGTCTCCCCGGAGCCTTCTCTTCTCCAGGCTGAACAAGCCCAATTCTCTCAGGCTTTCATCACAGGAGAGGTGCTCCAGCCCTCTGAGCATCTTTGTGGCCCTCCCCTGGACTCACTCCAAACAATCTATATTCTTCTGATGTTGAGGGTTCCACAGCTGGACGCAGCACTCCAGGTGGGGTCTCACAAGAGCAGAGTACAGGGGCAGAATCCTCTCCCTCGACCTGCTGGCCACACTTCTGATGCAGCCCAGGATATGGGGATATGGTTGGCTTTCATGGAAAATCCCTTATGTTTATCACTGACAGGAGCTATTTCACATTCTGGGCTTGGAAATACTACAGCTTAGCACAAAGAAAAATAATGCTAATTACCAGTGGAGTAATTGGTTGTTTTCGTAACTGATTCCTGTGCTTCAGAAATTGCTTTCAGTATTAAATTCTTATTGGCCTGTTTTGAAGGTGGCAAGGAAGGTCTAAGGGAGATAAAAAAAGATAATAAATTGTACGTGAATTGCAACAGCACCTGTATCCACATTAAACACAGGTATGTCAACAGGTTAATGCAGTTCGGCATAATACTGACAGAAAAATCATTATCTAAAATCGCTTTATCCATATTGGTTTTCAGCTCGTTAATCTATTCTCCGAGCGGATGGGGGTCCACAAAACACTCTCAGAAATGGAAGTGCAGGGGCATCATTTCACCTCTCAGCCTAAGCTGCTGCAAAACCACACTGCATCTGAAGGGCACAACTCTGCCACTCGTTTCCTCTGACCTCCGCCCCTCAAGAGCCTGTTGGCATGTTTGGGTTGGCACCAGTAATTATGCAGCTGCCCCCGCGGAGAAAGATCCAGCTGAAAACTGACTCAAAAACACACTAGTTGTGAAAAAAGCATTCTACTTGTCTTTGAACATCAACAATGAGGAGGTTTAAATCAGGCAAGTGTGCTGTGAAAGAAATTCAGTACAGTATATTAGCTCAAAACAAATCTTTTACAAGCCAGCACTGTAGATCAGTAGAATCATCTCTTCCATAGTTTAAAAGCTCTTCCTCTTATTGCTGAAAATTGTACACAAACCACAGATGTACTCTGACTGACACCTGACATTGAGACAGCATCAGGGAGCAGCAAAAAAAGGAAGAATCTCTCAAGTCTTTTGGAAACTTAAAATCACCTTAAAGAACTAGTGCTAATTGGTTTGAAAACTATTCTTGAAATAAAACCAAAGCAATTACAACTCCTGGAAAATTGTTTTACCACCTTAAATAACTGGTATGAAACACGGCAACATTAATGTTCTTTTGCCAGTGAACTTTTCCCAAATGATGTGAAGTTTCACATTCCGTTGCAGCTTACGCACAACAATAAAACTAGGTTACGAAATCGGAGGAAAAAAGGTGGTATAAAACAGACAGACCTCTCACCCACAGAGTTGTGAGACAGTGCAAAGAATACAAAAAGGGCTTACTGAATGTTGTCTGTTGATCTTCAAAACTGCAAACAGTTTACCCCAACTTCCCCTACCGCAGTTTTTGTTGATTAAATTCATTCTGGATACCGCACAGAACCCCACTGATATTGTAAGTACCTTCTTTCTGGCTTTGCAGGTACAGACACACTGCTGGAGATGCTTCCTGTTCGCAATCCATAGTCTTCCTCTTCCTCCTCATCTTCCCCATCGTTACAGAACTTTTTCACTTTGACAACTGAGCTTACAACAGGAAAACGTCTTTTCCTGGAGCTTTCTTCCTACAACAGAGAAGACAAAACAAGTCATTTAGCATAAAATGTGTATTAATAAGCCAGCGAAGAAAATATCGCAATGCCACCTACAGCCAGCAGATGGAGAACTTCCATTCCAGTTGCCCGAGTCTAGAACTACTGTACTGTCTGCAGAAACAGGTGACAGCACTGGAGAGCATGAAAATCAGACATATTTACACTGAACCATCTCATTAACGATGTAACTGCAAATCACATTTAGAAAACTCTACAGCGCAGACAATTTAGCCAACATCTCCAGAAAAAGCTGGGTTTTCCAAAGGAATTCATACTACCCTTCAAGATGCACCTGCTGGAAGTCTGATAGAGAAAAGTGAAATCGGCATGAATGACTTGTATCAACTGTAACTCCAGATTAGTGGAAGGATTCATTTCTAGGAAGCTGACACATTCCAAAGGGTGCCACAAGCCGCGCGCAGCCGGTTTACGCGGCGCAAGGTCCCCGTTCTGACACAGCCACTCACCACCACCACAGTGTATGTGGTAGTGACACACTGAAACTCTAGGCTGTGTGAAAGCATGGGAGAAAGCAAGCGTTAGCAATTCCTGTAGGAACCATCACTCAGCACCCACACAGGAGCATGAGGAGGCATCTGGATGCCAGGTTTGCACACAGTATCCCTTTAAATGATCCCTTTAAATTATATTCTCCAAGGAGAAACATCCTAAGGGAAGGATGGACTACACCGATATGGAAGACTGATACAGCAAAAAGAAACCCAATACCTACAGAAATAACCTTTTTAAAGGTAAAACTTCCCAAGGCACAAGAACTTGTCTAGAAAGCAGAATATAGCACAGGTCCGCACTTCCAAGAAACACTCCTGAAACAGCCCTCTTCTGGACATTATTCATGACACAGTAGCAACAGAAGGAAGTTATAACAAGAGCTTTTTCTATCATTTCCCAGGAGAGATGGGACTCTCATTCACCAGTGATTTATGTCCAGCCTTAAACAAATCACTATATTCTCGTTCTCACTTCTCCATCTTAAAAAAACCAAAGACATCAGCACAGAGCTTTGTAAGGCACTCTAGATTTCCCAATACAACTTGTGGTCCTTTCTACAGTACTAATTAGTAGCACAGCCAGAGAACTATGTCAGCAAGAAGACAAGGTATCTTACAACATTACCAGCCATCACAATCTTCATTCCTCTCACGAGGGGCTCTGCACTGGATTCATATGGATAGTCTTAAAACTATCAGCTGGGACTCTCACCCTGCCTGCCTTAGTCTGACCTCCATAGGGCAGCAACCACCTTTTAGTTTGTCCTTGTACAACACCCATCCCAAAGAGTTCTTAAATGCCATGGAACTAAGCATATAGTAATGACAATCCTAATGAGTGACATACGGGGCTTTAGAGACCAATGTAAATCTAGCACAGGTATGAAAAAACAGCATCCCAAAAAAACAGATTTACAGAAGTGTGTAAAGCTGGAGATTTACACAGCACTTATGATAGCTCGTGCTGTTCCAGTGATCTAGAGATCCAAATTATTATTTCTGCTGCATCACGTGCATCAGAACAATGTGCTAACCCCTTAGTCCAACTCAACATGGCATGAAGATGTAAGAGCTAATGAAGCCTGAGCTGCAGCAGCCTGTCAGGTGATGATGTTAAACCCTGCAATCTCTTTTGATCAGTGGACCCAAAGAATGAAATCCCAAACCTATGGGTATCAGTGACAGGAGTCCTTCGATTTCTCTGAGGTCAAGATTTTACTGCAAGTGTAAAATACTGCCATAGCTTAGAGCGTACTAACCTCACTGCCTACTTTATCGGCACTAAGTTTGGAGGTGGGTCTGTAACTCCCTGCTAAGCTGCCAAATGCTTCTGGATTGCAGAGCTGGCCTGTTTCCAAAGACCTGCAGCTTTGCATGTCTAACTGCTGGCTCCCCTGCAAGTTGCCCTGTTGTGACAATCTGTGCCCATGCATATTGCCATCTGCACTCCTGCTAGCTGGTGGCCGGTAGATTTCAGCGGAAGGACGAGAAGAACCGTAAGTTACAGTTACAAGAGGTTTCTTCCGTGACAAAGGACTCTCCTGCACGAAGTTCAGGTCTTCATCAATTAGATCATCTGGTTCAGGTTTAATGTCAATCACAGCTTCAGAAGAGGACAATTCCCTCAAAGGCTTGACGGTAGATGTTAAGCGGGACGCAGAACCATCTTCACAAGACTGCCTAGTAAAACAAGAAATCGCCAACTATTAACCCATCTGCAAATCAAGTTCTGGAAAACGGGAACTGTCTTTTAAAGAAAGCCAGCAGGGAAGAATCATCAAGGTATTATTGCTTATACAAATCTAACACACTGATCACTATTTTTAGTTTGGTTAATTAATCTAGGCCCATCTGTTGCTTAACAAAATGGTAATGAATTCCTGATCTAACGTTTTTACGCAGGGAGCTTCAGCAATGCTTTGCTCTTCCAAACTACTTTGATCTTTCCAAGCATCTGTGCTCTTCAGAACGACTACTACAGTCACACAACTCCTGATGCCTGAACATGTGCTAGTAAGCAAGCAGAAGCTTTACCGTGAAGCAGTGTTCCTCTGTTCCTGTGAGCTAGTTGAAACTCGGGAGTCATTTCTTTCAGTCTGAGTGCTGGAAAGTGCAAGAGGTGGCAAGCTGTCCTCAGGCTTCTTCTCATCACTTGCACCCAAATTGCTTTTGCCAGAAGGAAGGCTGCTCTCAAAGATACTAGCTTCTGAAGACTTCACACTAGCTGGTTCTGTGGAGACAGGTACCTTTCATTTTTACAGCAAAGCACAGCAATACAGATTTTGCAGCAAATGTACCTAAGAAACTGCAAACAAGATACTGCGCAGATCTGAAAACACAACAAGCTGAAAGATGTTTCAGCTGAAAATAACAGCAGGAAACAGCCAGAAAAAAATTACTTATCTCAATTTTCAATTTATATGGTCTTTTGGGTCCTGACTCTTTAGAAAATTGCTTTATATTCTGAGAAAACAGCCAGCTAAGATCTTGTTTGAAATTCATGAGACACGCAACACTACGCTAAAAAGATAAACCTACTTTACCTCAAAATTAATTTTCTTACTCACCAGTAGTCACAGACCGCAGCTTATCCAAAACACCGTGGAGCCTGAAATCGATGGGGGACAGGGAAGGAAGCAAAAGAGAAAAAGGAAAATACAACTTATATTCAGAATAATGATCATCTTTCAGATGCCAACTGCCCACCCATAACAAGCATCTTAATTTATCTAAGACTTCACTTCCATCAACTGGCGTACGTTTCACCTCAAAAGGGAGGCTTTAAGTATGTCGCCTACAGCGAGAGCCTGCCTACCTGCAGGTAGGGTATTCACCACATCATCTACTTTTGGCATTTAGTTGGTTTACATAATTAAAGCCAGTACTTTCCACTCTTTCACCGCAGTCGGTGGCATGAGTTAAGTGTCTTCAAAAGGAGTGATTCAAACAAGCTAAGTTAGAAGCCTAAAGTATAGCTGAAAATTTTCGTACATGAAACCTTAATTACACATAATTCTGAACACAAACTGAAACAATATATAATTCATAGCACTTAATATACTCAAGATTATTCCAGCATGCTTTGTGTATACCAACGATATTCTTTGAGACATGTTGGTGAGCAAAAACATTTCAGCCAAGTACCAAATTTGCTGTTTGCTTGTGAAAAAGACACCAAGCTGAAGCAACACAGAAAATCTAAAGGCTATAAAGCAATGCTGTTCAAAATTAAACACACATTACAGTGAAAAGAAAGGAAAAATTAAAAAAATCACAACACTTAAATGCATATCCTACTTGGAATTCAAACCTGATCATGGGCATCTCCAGGATTTAGACTGAGTATTAGAAAGAGTTAAAGAACAAAAATATTGAAAACTGGGAAAAGTAAGACTGCACGTGAGTCTAAGGAAGGCTTCTCAAACCTCCTTGTGAGTTTTCACCAGAAGGCTCCTGAAAGCTTGGTCAGCTGCACTCTGCTGACGCGTATCAGTTTTCACGCTGACCTCAGGATAACCTGCCCTGACACTAGGTTCAGAGTGAGAAGTGCTGGCCAACCAGCAGGACTGCCAGGTCTGCCACAGGGCAGCTGCGAAACCCTTGCTAGATGACTCTGAACTACCAGCTATACAGTCACAAAGCAGGGAAGGCAGACCTTACCGAGTACTGTACTTAGCCAGAGACCCAATGCTGCAGAATGTAAACATTCCGGGTCGCTTTAAAAGAAACAAAAGCATGTAAAACTCCCAACTACAATGCTATTTAACTTTTTTCCACCGGTCCTCTTACAGTTTACTGCACAGGTTTCAACTTGTGTTCTTTTACACCATTCTTTTAACCAATAACCACCTTGCTACCTGATAAAGCACTCTGAAATTGAATTTGTATTTATAAGCAAATGCGAATACTGAATTGGGAGTAAAAGACTCATTACATTTGGAATTTAAGCAGGTGTCAAAACCAGCAGGAGGTATAATACCTACACATAGTTGACAGCCAGGTCTAAATATATAATAATTTTTTAAAAAAAGAAATCTTGATTTCTCTTCCCTGCTGGAATTTGCTTTCTCTACATCTTCATTATTTTTTTCAATAAAGTTTTAGTTTCATTTACAAAGCCATGAACATGTTTTCTGCCTCGTATTATTGTGTTATTTCTTACTGTATATCAGGATTCGGTTAAAACCCTAGTAGTGGAGTTACCCCCATCCACTTGTAAACCTCAGTAATTTGTCTAAATGATTCCCAACAGCATGACTTACTGACACAGTGAAACCCAAAAGGTTTGCCTAAACAGGCCTCAAGAGGGAACAAAGAACATAAAAAAGGGGTACATGTTTAATTGCACTCCTTTCTTGTATTTCTCATCAACGACATGACAAAAAAAAAAAAAAAGAAAAAACTGAAAGCAAACTCAAATTATATCCATACAAGTAACACTGTCACATAGAAATCGGTCAGTTTAAATAGCTGACCCAGTGAACTGTAATAGCTGGAGCTAATCTTCATTTTTTGACAACGTTTATGATTTCATAACTCATCCAATTTCCAAAATATTATTTAATAGCATAAAAGCTCCTGACCAATAAAGAGGAACTTGACTAATCATGTAGGAAAAATACTGTAAGTGAATGTAACCAGTCAGTAGGAAAATTTCAAAGGAAGCTAACTGAAAAAGCAGAAAAAATGCAGTATTTTTCTATTCTATAAAAAGCAAAATAACGCTCCTTAGATCTATTAGGTTAGACATTCAGAAATAAGATTAACTCAAAAAAAACACACAACTCTGAAAGTAAAAAAAAATCTCTGGAGTGAAATATCTGTTTGGATACTCTGAAACATGGAGTTAATTAAAGGTTTATACTGTAAGCCAAACTCAGTATTGGAAAATGCATGAGAAGCATTACAATAGTTAAGGCTGTCATGCAGCATGGCATAGATTAATCCTCACTGTCAGGAGTTTAGAAAAATGTTCATCTGTTACTAATTTGACCTGCTCACAGTAACTCTGGGGTACGGCTTTTGTTTCGTAGAGCTGGCTGGTGGTAATAAACAAACAGCCTGAGAGGTGGGAATACCTAAGCATTTGGTGCTAAGCCCTGTCAAAGACGGAATACAGAATTAGATCAGTGCTCATCTGTCCTGACATAGTAATTCCCACGCACAGCAGCAATCCGAAGCACAGCTAGCATAAAAACAAAGAATTTTGTCTTGGAAGAACTATTTTACATGAAGCTACGGTGACTAACCCTCCCATGCTCACAGAGGGTTTTGCAGGAACAATTATTTAAGTCAACATATGGCATTCACCTGAGCGTTTCACACTTCATGCAAAAATTTGACTGGACTTAGGAGCAAACAAAGAATATAAGCCCTCCAAGTCTTTTGCCAGTTAATTATCACTGCAATAGCCTAACTGTTGACAGACTGAAAATAATTTACTTATTAGAGATGCAAAGTAAAAATTTTTATTATTGTAAATTACACAATGGGAAGTGACTTCTTAAATTCTCAGGTTTCACTTAAACAAATCAGTTCTGATTACTGGTAAGAAGTGTGACAAGTAGCTTGTGAACATACCAGACAGTAAACCTGACAGTATTGTTTCCAAGGAAAAGGGAAAGGTCTTCTGTCATCTGCTCCTGACTCTTCTTATTGGCCACCATAACCATAATATAATCAGGGAGCTCTTCATCTAATTGAAAGAGAAATACATTGTTTTAAAGCATAATAAATCATAAAAGATATAGCAAGCATCCTTAAACATGCCACCAGATATTTCGTTTTCCATTGTGCTATAAAGACTCTGTAGGCAGAGGATGAGGCAAGCAAATTAACAGGCTTCCATTTCCTCTGACGTTCAATACAAATTTCAAATTCTGATAGTTAATGAATACATAACTAGCTTTATTTTGCTTCACAGATAGGAGTATTTCCTTTGTAAGCTCTACACAACAAAGTTTCAACATGTCTTGTTGCAGAAGTCTTTTCAAAAGAAAATAACTAGCAGTTACAGAAAGAAACAAAAGCACAGTTCTTGCTCACAGAGGATACAGTGAGGGAGAACCAATTTTTGCCAGTTACCTAAAAGAAAAAACCGAGATTTTTTGAAAAAGATTACTTGAAAAGTTGTCTAAGATACTCTAATCAAGAAAAGAAACTGGAAAAATGACAGAAATCTGGAAAAAGTGGTTTAAAAACAAAAAAAAGACACCAAGGAAAGTCAGACTTGGTGACAAGGAATACAAAGCTATTTAAAGAAATCCAGAAGCTGACTGAGAAGAAAGTGCCAATGTTGTACGCTGATCTTGGGAATGGTCTTCTGAATACAGGAAACAGAAAGAAAAGAGAAACAGAAAAAGAATAATCAGCCATAGGTGGAATCAAAGACTACTAGTATTCTACCAGCATCTTGGCATTACAGATAAGACAGGTTTTTATCAGAAATGCAGGAAAACACAAAGAATCAAGAACTCAGAAACTGAAACCTGGAAAGACAGTAAAAAAAAAAAAAGGGTTACTGAAAAAGTCAGCTTCTGAGATGGTGAAAAAAGACATCCTTACAATGAAAAAAATCTAAACACGGTGCCTTGGCACCTGCTGAGTTCAGAACTTTTAGGTAATTCCCTTCTAGGAAGTCACTACATTTTGATTCCATAAATACAACAGCCCCCTTTAAACAGGAAATAAGATTAACTCAAGATCAAAGTACAAGCTGTGAACTTGGTCCTTCAACTCACGGGATCTCTGAACTATGCTCTCAATTCCCTTCCTTCACCTGAAATCCTGCAGTTGCAGTACTGAGGTACTGCTACCAACTTTTACTGCTATAAAAACAACATCTGTTAAGTGCAGTATCTATCTAATCCTGGATTCAGAAAAAAAAAACCCAACCCAAACAAAACCCAAGAAACCCCAACAAAACACACACATTCACACTGCTCATACAACTCTACTCACATTCCAAAATAAAATCTCCCCTTGCCACTAAGCTTCAGTTACGTATGTTTCATCAACATTAGCTTAACAGAAGTTTTCCCTTTAACAGTCAAGCTCTTACATTCTGCAGGCTTGTCCTACATAATGTGTCTGACATGGCCTTTCCACCTCCTAAAACAGTCAGCCTACCTCAATCCTGCAGTAATATTCTTTCTCCTAACTCGATAAATGTCTCACCCTGAATTCAAAAAGCTGTTGAAAAGATGCCCAAGACTGACTCCATCCCAGAGTGGTCACAGGTAACTGCTGTTGTATTTGCAAGGAACTTGCTTTATAGAATGTTTCTGCTTGTACTTCAAAGATACTTCCTTAAATATTCACAGACACATCATTGTTTGTTTTTCTTTCAAATCCCTTATCACCATTTCTCCTTGAAAAGGGAGACAGCCTTCTTAGTTATCGCCTTTTGATTCTTCATACATCGATGTCAACATACTGCCTCCTCTTACGTTTAAACTATATGTATTTCCTGTTTATTTTGTACTAGTCCAACACTTCAGGTAATTCATCTCATGATTAAGGCTTCCATGTACAGTAACACAAGTAGTAGTAAGTAAATATGCTGTTCCATGAACTATCTGGTTGTTTCCTATCTAACAACAATGAAACTAAAGAAGATTGCTAAACACATGATGAAACTTACCAACATAAGCCCCCAGCTCCTGCAACTTTCCTTTTATAGCACCCTAAAAAACAATGAAATGAAATTTAAGGGCTGGAGCATCAAAATACTTCTACCTGCAAACCAGTGGGAAGCTTAGCAAAGTTTTTCTCAACCATTTGGACATGTTGGTTTAATGTGGCACTTCTATTCTCCACTGTTCACGATACAAACATTGTGGCAGTGAGGGACTGACAACAGGACAGCAAGAGCTCCAGGCACCTCACACTCTTCACCGTATTTCCTATATACCAGTTCGGATCCTGGTGCTACCAAGCAACTTCCAAGTCCCTGCTGTCATTTTTTTCATGCAGAGACCATCCGGGCTCGTAAGGTACAATGAAAACGAAAACCGGGTGGTTTGATAAAAAATACATTCCCGGCTCAGCAATTAAAAAAAAAACCCTGCCTGGAGTTTCAAGCTGTGGTTACTGAGTGGGAGCAGCTGACAACACCTAACGGTAACGGGGGCTTCCACCACAACGCCCGGCTACGGCTGCTCCCACTCCCGGGCAGCCCCCGGGGCCGGGCCTGAGTCCCGGGTGGGCCGCTGCAGCCTGAAAACGCCCCCCGAGGTACGGTAGGACCCCGACTCCAGCTCCCAAAGCGACTGCTCTCCTGCTCGCACCCCTCCCCGGGGAGCCCC